ACTGAAGATGGAGGCCCCATCAGATGTGGACCAAAGTTCACCAAGTTACCCAAGAGACCAAGAAACTGTGCCCAAGGCATTTCATCATTAATCGCTCGTTATTCCAAATCCGGCAAACTCACCCCACGGAGGTGAGTGCACATGTGGACACCCTCACCTGCGTCCATTTATTTATTCACATGTCAGACCTCTTCCTCACACAGGGAGCTCCTTCTTGGAGTGAGGGAGGCTCTCTTGGGGGTCTGTGCCCGACTCACTGGACAGTCCCCTGGAACCATCCCTGCCTCGGTCACCACAGTGAGCGCAATGTCACCGTGTGCGCAGCACCTTCTAGGGGGCGAAGGGCTCCCTCCTCATGCCTCTGACTGTCTGTGTGACCACAGGGAAGTGCCTCTCTGGTCATTTTTTCAACCTGTACAACTAAGCTGAAAGACAACGTGCCCTGCCCTGGTCCCCAAACCCAAACTCAGCGAGAGCAGATGGGCGATGCACAGCGCCACACAGCATGTGGCAGCGGTGGCCGTGATGGGCTTGGAGGCTGCAGAACACTGGAGACGGAGAGATGGCCTAGGAGGGCTCTGAAGTGCTGCTCGGGTCCATCTAAGGCTGGACCCACCTGGGGCATCGCTGATGCCAACAGGCAAGTCACACTCGATTCAGCAAAGCCTCCTTATCGACGCTGTAGCACAGGCACCGACCCATTAGGCACGAAGGCCAGATCCGGGGGCCTCCTCAGGACTCCCAGGGGGGCTGGGGATGGCAGTGCAGGTAGGTGACACATCGCTGACCAATTCTGAATTCTCCTGAGTGCTCTGCAGAGGCACCAACCCCCCGCTACAGTTTCCGGGTGTCCCTTGGTCCTGCAGTGAAGCCCTTTCCACTGTGCCGCACCCCGCCCCCCTTCCCACAGGCTCCCAGGACACGCACACTTACATCTTTTCCTGACGACCCTTCCCGGCCCGGCGGCCCCATGGCACCAGGCTCTCCCTAGAAGGGGAAGCAGAAACAACAAGCTTTCTGTGAAGAAAGAGCAAGATGCCAGCTGCCTCCACCGCAGTGCCTCTCAGCAGCAGAGAGGAGGACGGCCCACGGGAAAGCACCCCACGGAGTCCCGGTCCTGAGCTGGGGTCTGCAGAGCCCCCAAGGCCAGCTTCCAGCCCTGGGCCGCGTGCACCTCTCTGAGCTATAGGAGCCACCAGCTGAAGACTCCTGCAAACCTGCTTGGAATTCTGCCTCCTGACCGGCTGAGTCACTCGGCCTTCCACCTCTCAGCGTCTCAGGGGTGCACAGAGCATGGCAGACCCCTGAGGCGCCTTCTGTTTCGGGCATTTGGAAGAAGCTAACGGGTGAGAAAGCGGGCATCTGGGAGAACCCAGTGCTTCCCACACATGTGCTCCGGGGCCTTGCGGAAATCACCTATGTCCCCCAGGCCTCCGCTGCACAGCTCATGCTAGCGCAGCCGACAGTGGCCACACGTGACCACTGGCTGATTTGGTCAGACCGGCTGTCAGTCAGTGTCTGGCCCCCGGAAGAAATGACCAGGAAAACTAGACCAAGAGAGGGGCGCTGCTTTCATCCCCTCCCAGGTGGCCTGGCCGAAGGGGCCCAGGACCTCAAAGTCCGGAACCGCCAGCTCAGGTCCACCCGGGACGACCCCTGCGGCGAGGTAGCCACTTACCCGGGGGCCAGGGGCGCCAGAATCGCCCGTGTGTCCCTTGAAGCCCTGGAAGAAAGAGAATGAAGTTATCCCACCAAAGAGCAGGCTGACAAGGGGGCGCAGGCAGCTGGCGTGAGGGTCCAGCTGGGTCCTGACCCTCTCGCTGTGGCTCCTGACTCCCCTCACTCTCCACCGGGTGCAAGGCGTTGGGCCCTTCCTCCCGCCTCAGTCTGTGGTGAGGGCGGGACTGCAGGGGCCACCGCGCGTTGGGCCGTCGGCCTGCGTGTCTCCTGAATTCTGTCTTATCCTTCTGATCTCACACCACTTGGCTGGGACCCCGGCGGCCTGGCTCCTGGGAGAGGCAGCGGACGAGGGGTCAGGAGCCGGGCCAGGCAGGTTTCAGATCCCTACTGAGCCCAGATCTGAGTGACTGCGTTTCACGCCCCACTCGGGCCCCCGGTCCTCCTCCATCGCTGCGGAAACCAGCCTGCCCTACTGAGCTGTGGGGAGGGTTGGATGAGAAGTTGTGACCGCATACAGGCCCGTCACTTGGTGAGCTGTCAGGAGGTGCCAGTGACCGATGAGAAGAGGGGGAGGCGGAAGATGAGATCACCTCAGGTTTGAGTCCAGGTTCAACCTCTGTGACCTTGGAAAAGTCCTCTAACCCCCTGGAACGCTAACACCGCCGTGGATAAAGTGAAGATAACAGAAGTGCCCACCTGCCGGAGCTTTGCAGGGTTATCTGTGCAAAGGGCTTTACACACTCTCAAGTTTGATGGAGCGGGCTGACTTTGGAGTCGGCTCTGGAATTCACCAGGGCTCCCCACTTTCTAGCTGTGGATCTCGGGAGCCTTACTTCTTGCCACTGTGACTCAGTTTCCACTCCTGTAAGATGAGGCTGGAAACTACCTCTGCAGAGTGGCTGTGAGGATTGCATGAGAGATAAATAGCTGCTGTCCGCTGCTCAAAACAGGCCAGNACTGAAGATGGAGGCCCCATCAGATGTGGACCAAAGTTCACCAAGTTACCCAAGAGACCAAGAAACTGTGCCCAAGGCATTTCATCATTAATCGCTCGTTATTCCAAATCCGGCAAACTCACCCCACGGAGGTGAGTGCACACGTGGACACCCTCACCTGCGTCCATTTATTTATTCACATGTCAGACCTCTTCCTCACACAGGGAGCTCCTTCTTGGAGTGAGGGAGGCTGTCTTGGGGGTCTGTGCCCGACTCACTGGACAGTCCCCTGGAACCATCCCTGCCTCGGTCACCACAGTGAGCACAATGTCACCGTGTGCGCAGCACCTTCTAGGGGGCGAAGGGCTCCCTCCTCCCACCTCTGACTGTCTGTGTGACCACAGGGAAGTGCCTCTCTGGTCATTTTTTTCAACCTGTACAACTAAGCTGAAAGACAACATGCCCTGCCCTGGTCCCCAAACCCAAACTCAGTGAGAGCAGATGGGCGATGCACAGCGCCACACAGCATGTGGCAGCGGTGGCCGTGATGGGCTCGGAGGCTGCAGAACACTGGAGACGGAGAGATGGCCTAGGAGGGCTCTGAAGTGCTGCTCGAGTCCATCTAAGGCTGGACCCACCTGGGGCATCGCTGATGCCAACAGGCAGATCACACTCGATTCAGCAAAGCCTCCTTATCGACTCTGTAGCACAGGCACCGACCCATTAGGCATGAAGTCCAGATCCGGGGGCCTCCTCAGGACTCCCGGGGGGCCTGGGGACGGCAGTGCAGGCAGGTGACACATCGCTGACCAATTCTGAATTCTCCTGAGTGCTCTGCAGAGGCACCAACCCCCCGCTACAGTTTCTGGGTGTCCCTTGGTCCTGCAGTGAAGCCCTTTCCACTGTGCCGCACCCCACCCCCCTTCCCACAGGCTCCCAGGACACGCACACTTACATCTTTTCCTGACGACCCTTCCCGGCCTGGCGGCCCCATGGCACCAGGCTCTCCCTAGAGGGGGAAGCAGAAACAACAAGCTTTCTGTGAAGAAAGAGCAAGATGCCAGCTGCCTCCACCGCAGTGCCTCTGAGCAGCAGGGAGGAGGACGGCCCACGGGAAAGCACCCCACGGAGTCCCGGTCCTGAGCTGGGGTCTGCAGAGCCCCCAAGGCCAGCTTCCAGCCCTGGGCCGCGTGCACCTCTCTGAGCTATAGGAGCCACCAGCTGAAGACTCCTGCAAACCTGCTTGGAATTCTGCCTCCTGACCGGCTGCGCCACTCGGCCTTCCACCTCTCAGCGTCTCAGGGGTGCACAGAGCATGGCAGACCCCTGAGGCGCCTTCTGTTTCGGGCATTTGGAAGAGGGAAGACGCTAACGGGTGAGAAAGCGGGCATCTGGGAGAACCCAGTGCTTCCCACACATGTGCTCCGGGGCCTTGCGGAAATCACCTATGTCCCCCAGGCCTCCGCTGCACAGCTCATGCTAGCGCAGCCGACAGTGGCCACACGTGACCACTGGCTGATTTGGTCAGACCGGCTGTCAGTCAGTGTCTGGCCCCCGGAAGAAATGACCAGGAAAACTAGACCAAGAGAGGGACGCTGCTTTCATCCCCTCCCAGGTGGCCTGGCCGAAAGGGCCCAGGACCTCAAAGTCCGGAACCGCCAGCTCAGGTCCACCCGGGACGACCCCTGCGGCGAGGTAGCCACTTACCCGGGGGCCAGGGGCGCCAGAATCGCCCGTGTGTCCCTTGAAGCCCTGGAAGAAAGAGAATGAAGTTATCCCACCAAAGAGCAGGCTGACAAGGGGGCGCAGGCAGCTGGCGTGAGGGTCCAGCTGGGTCCTGACCCTCTCGCTGTGGCTCCTGACTCCCCTCACTCTCCACCGGGTGCAAGGCGTTGGGCCCTTCCTCCCGCCTCAGTCTGTGGTGAGGGCGGGACTGCAGGGGCCACCGCGCGTTGGGCCGTCGGCCTGCGTGTCTCCTGAATTCTGTCTTATCCTTCTGATCTCACACCACTTGGCTGGGACCCCGGCGGCCTGGCTCCTGGGAGAGGCAGCGGACGAGGGGTCAGGAGCCGGGCCAGGCAGGTTTCAGATCCCTACTGAGCCCAGATCTGAGTGACTGCGTTTCACGCCCCACTCGGGCCCCCGGTCCTCCTCCATCGCTGCGGAAACCAGCCTGCCCTACTGGGTTGTGGGGAGGGTTGGATGAGAAGATGTGACCGCACACAGGCCCGTCACTTGGTGAGCTGTCAGGAAGTGCCAGTGACCGATGAGAAGAGGGGGAGGCGGAAGATGAGATCACCTCAGGTTTGAGTCCAGGTTCAACCTCTGTGACCTTGGAAAAGTCCTCTAACCCCCTGGAACGCTAACACCGCCGTGGATAAAGTGAAGACAACAGAAGTGCCCACCTGCCGGAGCTTTGCAGGGTTATCTGTGCAAAGGGCTTTACACACTCTCAAGTTTGATGGAGCGGGCTGACTTTGGAGTCGGCTCTGGAATTCACCAGGGCTCCCCACTTTCTAGCTGTGGATCTCGGGAGCCTTACTTCTTGCCACTGTGACTCAGTTTCCACTCCTGTAAGATGAGGCTGGAAACTACCTCTGCAGAGTGGCTGTGAGGATTGCATGAGAGATAAATAGCTGCTNTGGAACCCGGACTCAAGCTGCAGCTGGAGCACAGACTGACCGTGTGGCCTGGAATAAACCACCCACATGTTCTGACCCGCCAGCCCAAACATGCTCATCTGTACAATGATGTCTAAGGACCCTTGAAGTTCTAGGACGGCTACCTCACCACGACCATCACTAAAATAGTGCTTATGTATTGAGCTCCGGCAATGGGCGGGACCCACGGCTAACGCCCTCCCATCCATCGTCTCCTCTACCCCTCAGTGGGTGCTATTTGAATAATGAGGACGCTAAGGCACAGATGTGATGACACTTTCCCCAGGTCTCACGATGAGGGAGCTGAGCACCCCACACAGGTGAGACATCTGAGTGTGAGCTTCAGCCAACGCACTCCACTGTCTCCCAAATCGTGGTCTAATGTGACCACACACACACCCGATCATTGTAACCTGAGTGGACGGGCCTCAGGACACAGGAGAGGGAGGACGCGTACTGAGCGTGAACCTCACGCCCAGAGCCAGGCGTTTTGGCCCCCACCGGGGTTCTCTGCTTACCGGAGGCCCTCGGGGACCCAGGAAGCCAGGGAGTCCCGGGCTGCCGTTTTCTCCTTTGTTGCCCTTCTGGCCCTAGAGCGGATAAACAGGATTAATGCTTCAAGGTCAAGGGCCCCCTGAAGCAGATTCAGAAACCCTGTGACCCCCTCAGTCCTCTGAAGGCTTGAGACATCCACAAAATAGAAGACAAGACCCCTTCCCTGTAACGGAGAGGAACGGGTCAGGGAGAGACGTGGGGTGCTGTGGGTCCTGACAGTGCTGCCACAGGATGGGGGAACCAGATGAGAGGTGTCTCTGCAAACAACGGTCTTTCCATCCAAAGCAACAGAAATCAAACAGGACAAACGTTTGCCACCACCGCCCTGAGGCGTGTGTGGCCCCTCCAGGCAGCCCTGCCGTGAGGCAGACACTTCTTCCCAACAAGACACCAAGGCTCCTGGATGGGTAGGGTAGTTTTTTGGGGAAAGCCTTCAGGAATCTTTCAGTTTCAACCTTGCTGGGACGCCACCATGAGTGAGTGAGCTCCCCTGGGGCCAGCTCAACCTGCAGCAACAAGCCCCCCCCACCGAGGCTCCCGAGGGAGGTCCTTACATCTGCTGAGAAGTGAGGCTCCTACAGCACAGCTGCCCCTGGTCCAATAGGAACATGGTCTCTCCGGGGGTGACCATGCCTGGTTTCCTGGGAATGACGGATTCCCCAGGATGTGGGATCTTCAGCGCTAAAACCAGGAAGGCTCCTGGCAACCCAGGGTTGGCTGGTCACTCTAATTTCCAG